CCACATATTCGGCAAGCTTTGCGCCTACTGGGTTTTGCACTTCTCCAGCCTCGAAGTTCGACACTATTTTGTTGTATATTTTCGTTCGTTTGCCCTTTTCCACCCAGGTGCAAACATGTCCACCTACTTGGTGCGTGTTGTCCAAAATGGTGCCTTCGCGCCAACCAGCTTCCCCTTGTTCTTTGTAGCCCATTTGCCGCAGTCTGCGCACCAATGCCTTGCGGTCCAAAGTGCCAGAGAAATCCTGTGTGTAGTCGACGGAATAGATACCATATCCGTGCGCTTGTAGCAAAGTGGCAAACTTGGCAATGCCTTTCTCTACGGCTTCTATGGGCAACTCGGAGGTGTCTACTTTGGCTACGAAGGTGGCTGCGTGTTCGCCGTGCAGGCTATTCCACTTGTTGGACAAATGGGCCACGCGCTCTACTATGTTTCCTTTCCTGCATGTGTGCGCCATGTTGGTTGGTAGAAATATCCCAAACGCTTCCGTGGCTGCAATGGATATTTTGGATACTATTGCCTTCGCATTTCTACACACCCGCCCATACAAGTCTTGTTCTGCGACGAACCCATACACAAACACATCGTCTACGAATGGTGGCAATCCTTCCAAGGGCTGCAAACTTGTAGTACCTTCGTTTCCACGCAAATAGTCGCATTTGGATATGTCCGGAAGCAGGTTTCCGTCGTGGGCATTGTCCAGCAGCAAATGCGCTAGCAGCCTACTCTTTGCTCGTATTCCCATCTCTTGCAATGTTGTCGAAATAGTCTTTTGGGAGTCCATCTCTATATATAGAGGGAGAAGCAAATACTACGAACGTGGTCCTCGTTGGACAACTGTCGCAAGTTGGAAGGGCGGTGAATCGCCTCCCTTCTATAGACATCTTTTGGGGTAGCAATACACATCTTTTGGAACACGCATACACTCTTTTGGAACACGCATACACTCTTTTGGAACACGCCAAAAAAGGTAGTCGAAACATGGTTGTCGAGGCGCGGACAATCCATACACTCTTCTAATGCAAAAGTCGTTAACGAACTTCTTACATTCATGCATCGTATATTTATAAGATATTTTTACCTCCGTTTGCAGTACCCAACAGAGCAGCAGTTAGGCACCTTTCGCGCTGCCGGCAGATCGCGCAAGACCCCCTGTTCCGCGGGTTACCGACCTCCAAAAACCCACCCCCCCCTGGTGTTTTTCGACTTGTGATTTTTGGCAATGCCGGCAATTCGCGAGTCCGCCTAACTGCTGCTGCACATTCTCCTCAGTTATTCTAAGACCCTGAGTGTTGGTCCGGCCGGGACTCGAACCACGACCTCCCGCACGTAAGTCCGATGCTCAACCAACTGAGCCAACCGGTTTGCGGTATGGCGGCCATTTTGTGTTTTGTCCCTAAAACAGCAGCACTCAAATGCCAACTCGACCACGTTTTTATCGTCGATCTCGGAATAGCTTATCGTTAAAAGCTGAAGTCCTTCGAGCGTTACATCCGAGTGGCTTAGCGAGAGTGTTTACCTTTCTTCACGTGGAGAAATGGGCAGTTTTGTCCTCTCCAGCACTTCGATCTTGTTGACTGGAAAAACCGGCACACTTGGTTCTCAATTGGTTCTGAAGAAACAAACAGACATGTTTTTGTTTTATTTGAGGTGAGATATTGGAAAGCCTCGCTTTTATGAGAAAGGGGAGAATAGGGCATTCTGGTCTAGCTTGGGTAAAAACACCAAAGTTCGTAAATTTCAAATTGTCAGCTTTCTAATGTTTTTTATTTATTTTTTCTTCTTTACCTTCTTTCTTGAAAGTTTTAAAAAAATATTTGAAATAAATTATGTATCCCAACCGCAATTTTGAATTCGATTCCCGTTATGTTTTATAAATATTCTATGTATCGAATTCAATGGAATTCTCAGTCATTATTAAACCAGTAAAATAATACAATATGCAATGAGAGAAAAGTTTGACTTACTAAAACCATAAAGAGCAATATCAAGATCATCTTTATCAATCCTGTAAGAGTTGGTGGAGGACACATAGTCCTCCATCATGGGGTTCCAAAGATTCAATGCTTCTTCATCTGGGCTGGAACAACGAGACCCTAATGGAGAAATAGTAGCACCTATAGTGATAGAAGAGATTATCAGCTTGTAGTTTCACCAGAAAACCACAGAGAGATGTGATACGCTGTCTATAATGAGCATCAAGGCTGGCGTGGCTGTAGTGCACTCGCCTCTCACCTCTGAGGAGGTGACGGGATCATTTTCAATCACATGTAAATATAGTTTGTTAGATCTCTCCCTTTATTTAAGGGTTTTGTCTGGGTTCTCAGGTTTTCCTCCCTTAGCTAAACCAAACATGTCTGTGAGTTAACCGTGCCCTGACTTAGATCGACCGAGAGGTTGTTTCAGGGTTCCATCTGTAAGTTGGCCACACCCTGACTTAGATCAGCCCAGAGGTTGTTTCAGGGTTCAATCTGTGAGCTGGCCACGCCCTGACTTAGATCAGCCCAGAGGTTGTTTCAGGGTTCAATCTGCGACTTAACCACGCCGTGACTTAGAACAGCCCAGAAATGTTGTTTCAGGGTTTGATCTGTGAGTTAGCCGTGCCCTGACTTAGATCGGCCCAGAGGTTGTTTCAGTTTTCTATCCTGTGAGTTAGCCACGCCCTGACTTAGATTAGCCCAGAGGTTGTTTCAGAGTTCAATCTGCGACTTAACCACGCCGTGACTTAGAACAGCCCAGAAATGTTGTTTCAGGGTTTGATCTGTGAGTTAGCCGTGCCCTGACTTAGATCAGCCCAGAGGTTGTTTCAGGGTTAGATCTGTGAGTTAGCCGTGCCCTGACCTAGATCAGCCCAGAGGTTGTTTAAGGGTATCGGTATATGTGTTTTTTTTTTAAAAATAATAGCGAGGTAGCGTAGGGTAAAACTCACAACATGGTATGTATAACAACCAAGTCCTCAGTCCTAATAATGGCCTCACCTTCCCGTTCGAGTTGGTCAGCAGTGTTTTCCAAGTCCACCAGTGATATGTGAACAGTCTTGGCTTCGTCTCTTTCTCCTTTTGAATGGGAAAGAAAGTTGGTAAAAAATATGGAGATTGCCGGCTATTGCAGTCTCATTGCCCAGTTCAAATTGAAAAAAGCATTAAAATCCACCTTCACCCTGAATATCTTTAAACTGGGTCAAAACTCAGAGTCTTAAAATATCTGAATAGAAGGTACTGTCTTTGCCATAAAAATATGCGTAACTGGTTCGACCTTGGCCGTGGCTCGGATGGCGACGTAATATGGCGGTCCCGTCTCCTTTCGAGAAACGCAGTTTGACCATGCAGTTATAGATGTATGGGAGTCTAATATAGCTAAGCTGCTAGGTATCTTCGTATAGCAGATAGGAGATCGCACGACCTTACAGGCGATCGTCCATCATCAGGGATAAATGGAGAAAAACGATAACAAATGAATCAACTTATAGCAAAATTTACAATTAAAATGTTGAAGACTAAATGTACGAAGAATAAATGTATAAGTGCACCATTTCCAAATAAAATTGGGATACTTTGATTTTATCTATCACTACAGCCTCGTAAAGGTCAGTCTTAGGTAATCTCGACAACTAGTGCCCCTTTCTTGACATTGGCATGTTGTCTTCTCCTTGTGGGAGCCTTTTTGTACTGACTGCGCATGACAATGACGTACAATTCTCACCCGAAATTTGTTTTTGGAGCTGTTCAGTAATCGTAGAAGAATTTCTCAACATCACAAGATTTTATTTTTTCTTACCATCCACAGGAAAGAATTCCTCGACTTCTTGTACTTCTTCTTCACAAAGTTCAGCCAGTCCTGTATCTACCAATACCTGGCCGGTATCAATATCTTCCTCTCCTGTCGTGTCGTACAGTTTTAAGGCTAATGTTGGTCTCTTGTAGGTGATGTCTGTGCGGCTACCGTCTCGTGCACTCGCCGTTGGGTAGTATACCTAAAAAATTGCGATGAAAGTTCAATTTACTGGGATAAAAGGACCCAGAAACTCTGCCTTTGGGAACTGTTTCCAAGGCCAATTTTCTAAATCTAATCGGATTCACCAGTCCATGGTGGAAGGAAAGCCTAACAAGTTTTGCAACGCACTTGATAAGGCTACCGATAGATCGAATTGAAATTTATGAGTTGATTTTTGCGGAGGGAGGAAAAACCGGAGAACCTGGAGGAAATACCTCGAAGCACAGGAGAGAACCAACGAACAACTCTACTCACATACGACACGAGCCCGGCGAGAATCGAACCTTGGGGACGTCCTTCCCACTCTATTTCGTCTAACCCACTTATCGGTTTTATCATTCTTTAGGATCGAGTGTGGCTAAGAACGTTGATATTTTGCTGGAAAAGCGATAGACCTATCTTTTTATGTTGTCTGTCTATATCTTTAATTTGAAATAGCAGCAGTAAGGGGGACTCGCGAATCGCCGGCATTGCCAAAAATCACAAATCGAAAAACACC